AACACCAAATTGGGAGAAGTAGCTAATACTCCAGAAAACAGGATCAAAATTCAAAAGGAGTTGAACAGAATAGAAAGCTGGGCCGAAGCTAACAAAATGAAATTCAACAAGGAGAAATGTAAGGTACTGCACTTAGGGCGGAAAAACGAAAAGTACAGATATACGATGAGGGACATCTGGCTGAATGAGACTATGTGTGAAAGGGATCTAGGAATCCAGGTGGACCACAAGTTGAACGTGAGTCAACAGTTGTGATGCAGAAGCTAAAAAGGCCAATGCAATTTTAGGCTGCATCAGTAGAAGTATAGTGTCTAGATCAAGAGAAATAATACTGCCACTTTATTCTGCTTTGGTCAGGCCTCACCTGGAATACTGTGTCCAGTTTTGGGCACGACAGTTCAAAAAGGATGTGAAGAAACTGGAGTGTATTCAAAGGAGGGCAACTAAAATGGTGAAGGGTCTGGAAACCAAGCGCTATGAGGAACGATTTAGGGAGCTGGGGATGTTTAGCCTGGAGAAGAGAAGGTTAAGAGGTGATATGATAGCCCTGTTTAAATATTTGAAGGGATGTCATATTGAGGATCGAACAAGCTTGTTTTCTGCTGCTCCAGAGACTAGGACCCGAAACAATGGATGCAAGCTGCAGGAAAAGAGATTCCACCTCAACATTAGAAGGAACTTCCTGACAGTAAGGGCTGTTCGACAGTGGAACACACTCCCTCAAAGTGTGGTGGAGTCTCCTTCCTTGGAGGTCTTTAAGCAGAAGCTGGATGGCCATCTTTCGTGGATGCTTTGATTGGGAGTTCCTGCATGGCGGGGGGGTTAGACAGGATGGCCCTTGTGGTCTCTTCCAACTCTATGATTCTATGATTCTATGACCTAGGGAAAGTCATACTCTCTCAGTCTCAAAGTAAGGCATAGTAAAACCTTCTCCAAAACAAGAAACCTCTGTGATAGGTTCATCTTGGAGTTGTCATAAACTGGAAACAACCTGAGGGCACACAACAACAACAAAAACAACTCAGCAAAGGAGAGAAGAGAGAAAGGGCCAAATCTTGCTTTTCTCTGTAGAGTCTGGTAAAAATCAATGGCTGCAGTCTCAATGTATACTTCTCAGCAATAACTTTTGCCATCTTGACCACAGTCTTCTGTTGCATGGCCACACATGTGACAGTTTTCATCTGTGAGATGTTGGAGAATAT